AGTATTAGAATGACCATTTCAATGTCACGTGCATTGATGCATATGTATTGAATTATAATGATAGAATGATATAACATATTTGGTTGTACCATATAAACTAACCTTCGTTCATCAAATCAGCTGCTTAAAATTTGTTTTCAATTTTACTATTTTTTTTTTTTTTTTTTTTTTTGTCGTGGCATAAATCGTTGTCGCGTGTTTATGATTGTAACTCTAGTTCGTGTGATACATATTGTCATCCTAATCTACGACCACCGCGTTTGAAACATTATTTCTGCATCTGTAATAACATTGGATACGTTCTTTTCGTTACAGATATCATTATGAAGGGGAAATTCTACACAGTTCGTCTGAATACTCTCATCGTATTCTCGTGCATCATGACCTTTTTGATGCTGGTTTCAAATTACAAACAACTTACAACTAACGAAAGGTGTTCCCGGTCCATACTGGAGACCCCAATCACGAATCCCGTGCGGTGGAAAACGACGTTAGAGAGGAACAATGTCGTGAATTGTTCGCCAAATTTGTAAACAAGGCGTGGGAGGATTCCGCTAAGACGCTGAGAGATGTGGAGGATATGAGAGAAGAAATGATGCGGGAGAGGGAGGCGGAGGAGTGTGAATGTGATGGAGGTTTTCATGGCCCGCTCAAAACTAGTGAGAAATATCGCAGGAAAAAAGAAATGGAGAAATGGGAAGGAGAACAGATAAGGAAACAGGAGCCTTTCGTTATGTGCCAGGCGATGTCACCAATATCATACGTAGGCGCCGGCATTATATTAGAACCGTTGACATCGGCGAGCCTCCGGGGAATCAGTATCGTCGATCTACCCACAATGCAAGGCGAACAGGAATTCGTCGTGGAGTTAATATCGACGAACGGCCTGGGGACCATCAGCGTTGAGCTATCTGGGAGGTACAGAGACACGGTGGGTCTGGCCGGGCAAGACTCGAGCAAATTGAAGCTGTACACCACTATGAATATAACGGACATGAACAAAGTTCTTAAGACACTTGTGTATAAAAGCAGTGTATATGACATCGACGCCAGAGATGTGATTGAAGTGCGATACCGGGGGTTTTCCGTTCATGTCCACGTCCACGTTAAACGGGAACCATTCCCGCGGTTATTTGACGTGCAAGACAGCGATGACATCACTAAGAAAGTCACTGTGATCACGAAAACTTTCATGCGTTATGGTGCCGTCCGTACCATGATTGACAGCGTACATAAATACTATCCCAATATGACTATCATAGTGGCCGATGACTCCGAACACCCACAGAAAATCGCTGGGAACAATGTTAAACATTTCATCATGCCCTTCGCTGAAGGGTGGTTCGCCGGTAGAAATTTAGCTCTGAGTCAAGTAAGGACACCATACTTTTTCATTCTAGATGATGACATGCTTTTCTGCGACAACACTAAACTGGAATCGTTGCTGAAACTGTTAGAGGATCCTAAATTGAATATCGACGTTGTAAGCGCCCGCATGGAAAACACAGACGGGCAACTGATGAAGCTGTTGTTCACAACATCGATTTTTGAGCGGGGAAACAGTAAAGATGGGTACTGCGTGAATCGTGTGTTTAACGCCAGGCATAGTTATCTCGATGAATATCCAGACTGCGAATTAGCCGATGAGATCCCAAATGCATTCTTGGGTAGGACATTATCAGTTCGTAGTGTTGGCTTCGATCCGATGCTAGACCGTGTGGGCCACTACGAATTTCTCTTCGATGCCATGGGAAAACTGAAAATCGCGTCATGTAAAAATGTTAGAGTGCGTCACGCTCAAGTCAGGACTCCCGAATACGATAAATATCGGTATGCGGACGGTGTGGGTAAAAACAAAGGATTCGGTGGGAGGGCGCTATACTCTATTTACAAAAACAATTTGAAATGCATGTCTGGCATGCGACAGAAAGGACCGCACTATATGTAATGACTGTGCAGTCAGTGTTGTTTGTTATTGCAACAGTACAATAGCGATCATTATTCTGGGCGTGTGCAATATTTTCTTCGCGAAAAGTGTGTCAGAAAAATCTTCATCACTATTTAACTGGTCTTTTTTTTTCTTTTGACTGTGTGTTGGCGCTACTCTCGCGTGAATGGCGTATTAAAATCAAGTTGTGCTTGTTAATTGGACAGCCAGCGTCAGCCATGCACCTGGTATAGTTATGGCTGTGTTTCAAAATCAGAATACAAGAGATCGAATATATGTACACAATTAAAACGTCATTAAAATTTGTAAATAATCCCAAATAAATGTGTCGGCGTGTCATTATCAAAGCACATCACGTTTGCATATTGCGTGAAGGCAATTATAACGGCCAGCTAGAGAAACGCGAGGTTTACCACATTTATCCGGAGGTATTTGGTTCACGCAGCACCAAAACAAGCTGCTTGCGTTTTACACCCCTTTCAATTTCAGAACCCTGATTCGTTCCAATCATAAATTGTTCAGAATCCAAGCTTTTGAAGGTCTGTGATGTGAGCAGCAAAGATATCTATGTTGCATCTCTTCGGGTACGATTTTAGGTTTTGTTTGTACCTTTTGAATGGGTTCTAATGTGGCTTCGACTGTCTCGGTGATCTCCATAAAAAAATCTGATGAAAGGATATTTGAAGGCAGTGGGGGACATTACCTGACCTGTAAGTTGTGCTGTGAAGCTGTTGCGCGGACCAATGAGTACAAACTGAAATGTTACCCAGCTTTTACTGGGTAATTCTTTGGTGATTGGAAGGTATCGAAGGAGTCACCGGCGATACTTAGTTGCACCCAGGTCGAAATTCGTTCTTGTGATTTACATTAGAAGAGAGCATTGGATTGTGGGCAATTCAATGTTTGTCAACACAAATGTCGCACATGCGCTGGCGCGACGACCACCCCCTTTAAGACAAAGTTTCAATGGATATACATTTGTTCAATCGGTACAGTTTCAGAACGGAGCGCACTCGTCGTTACCTTCATATTTGGATGTGAATTCTAGACGGTCGTGATATGCCAGTGGGTCGAACTTCGGTCATCTGGCCAATGCCGTGAAGTACACGGTTTTACACCACTGTTTTGATTCCATTTTCACGGTCGAGCCAATCTTTTTTACCTCAACGTTAAGATTTTCAGCCGTTTTAGCAAAATTTAGGACATTTTTTGGGAGAAACGCTATTTTTTTAATATTTAGTTCATATCATTGTCTAAGCCGAGTTACTTTAGAGGTCCTTCAGATCTTCCCGCAAATCTCTTTCTTCCATTCGTTCTCTATAAGCTTTTTTACACACCCCGGAACTGAAGCAGCTGCAGACAGTACTAAACACAGTTGTTTGAAATCACGAAAGTTCCTTCCAGTTCTATTTTCGCATTCTTATTCTGCCCCCGTCTCGTCAGAAATTCGCTTTATAGTATTGAAAGTCGCCCTCTGCGGCGAACTTTTCAGTGACAATCCTGCTACTGGTGGCGTTTTCATAGGACTTTGTCCTTGTCAGAAATCATGACCTTTTCAGACAACGCTCGCTGAATGAGAATGCAGATACCATCCAGTGAAAATGTCTGACGCAGAAATCGATGAGCAGTACGAATACCTAGAGAAGAGGCAGATGCTGCAGGTAAGTGCATGTGTGCAGCCACTGCTGGCGCGCGCACGCCATGCCAACTACAAAACACATGACTGTTATAGCACATGCAATACGTGTGTGTAAGAGATAATTCCCTAGTCGATTCCTCCATCGTGTGTCCCTTCTGTTAGATCTCATTCTCACTCTACACTCTCCACCCGCCGCGTTTATACAGTGCATTACCGTATATGCAAACGTGTGTTTGGGTTAGGGGTATAGTTAAAATCATGGGGGTGGTTGGAAGAATTGTTAAACAAAATTACGAACTAGACAATGAGAGGATAATACAAATGCATACTAGGTGTTGAGGAAAAACATTTTGGCACATTCAAAAAAAAACAAATTATTTTTCACCGAGGAACAAAATTACACTGGTCATTGCAAAAAAAAAAAATGCAAAACTGCTCTTCCAGTCCCCCCCCCTGATTTCAAATGTTTGACTCCTTAATCTATGATGAACTAGTGTAATCCGAACCATCTAAACGAAGAACACC